CATCCCACTGGCCTCAGCCCATGGATGGAGCCATTTGATCCAGCAGATCAACCCTCTTTGTTTCATCTGAAAACTTCCTGAGGGTGCCTTGGTGCCCTCATCCAGACCACTGACAAAGATGCTGAAGAGAAGCAGCCCCAGTGCTGAGCCCGGGGGGACACCAGCTGTGCCCTCAGCCCCAGGACCTCCCCCCCAGCACAGCCTCTCTCCCACAGTTCCCTGGATTTGACGACCTCTACTGCAAGTTCTGCTTTGTCTATGGCCAGGACTGGGTTCCCACAGCGGTGAGTCCCCACACTGCTCCCCCAAAACCCTCCCTGCCTGCCAGGCAGCACCTCTGGAAGGGGCTGGGTGCAGACCCCCAGCTCCTGCCACCTTCTCCCCTCAGGGCCTGGAGGAGGGCATCTCCCAGATCACCTCCAAGAGCAACGTGGCACCCACCACCCTCGTCTGGAACTTCCCCATCGACATCACCTTCAAGAGCACCAACCCCTTCGGCTGTGAGTGCAGGGAGGGGGGGCTGGGGGAGTGCAGGTTCTAGCCCCAGCCCCCAGACTCTGCTCCTCTCACCCCCACCCCTCTGCAGGGCCCCAGATCGTGGTGAGTGTCTATGGACCTGACTTCTTTGGCAACGACGTGGTCAGAGGTTATGGAGCTGTCCACGTTCCCTTCACACCTGGCAGGTGAGGGGATTGTCTCTCAACACAGACCCAGAGGTTATTTCTTCTTTCTGGTTACTCTGTCATTTCAGAAACAAAATTATTCCCTTGTCTCCCTACGTGTCTTGGCTGTTTGGTACAAAGAGCCTGGATTTTCTAACAGCAACTCCTGGTTATCAAATAATTTTTGGCAATCCTGTAAAGTCAAAACTGGCGTGTGGAAAGCTCAGATCTGAAGCCCAGAACGTTACCTCTCCCCCACCACTCTCAGCTCATCCCCAAGTTTTATTCCCACCCCTGGAAACAGAGCCAAACACCCTCTCCTGTGTAAAAAAACCCCTTTTTTTTTGTGGCAGGGGAAGTTTTACACATTGAGATCTTCAGAGGTACCTTGATAAACAGCAGAAGTCTTGCCAGTGCCCTGTGTTCTCTCTGAAGCTGTGTGTCTCCTGTTTGGTTTAGGCACACAAGGACCATTGCTATGTTTGTTCCAGAGTCCACCTCGAGGCTGCAGAAGCTCACAAGGTAATAATTAAATGCTTTTCTTTTTTAAGTCCCTCTTGCTCTCAGTCACAAAGGTGTGTCCAGCTACTGACTGGAGCATACCTGTGAATATTTTGTTTCATAACCAATAGTTTTCTAGGTAAAATCACATTTTTGGGTGTCTTTAGAAGAGCTCATTACCTGCTTGCAGTAATTCTGACTCATCTTTTTTTCCCTCCTGGAACTCTTGGTTTGAGAAGAGCCAATTTCAGCAGAGCAGACTGAGACACGAGGTCTCACACCCAGTGCCACGGGTGGGCTCATATCAGTGATGTGACTTGCAGGGACACCACTGAAGCTGATGTGACAAGCATTTTAGCTGGCCCTGGCCCCTGAGGAGGTGCTGCAGCCCATCCCTGAACCTCCCCATGGCTGAGGGCTTCTCTGGAAGGACAGAGCAACCTAGGGACTAAATCCCCATCCCCAGTCCTACCTTTCCTCCATCTGGAATGCCTTTGCTGTAACCTTTGTCTTGTTTGCACAAGGACATCCCTTCCAAAGGAGCAATCTCAACACAGCAACTGAAGGGTGTGAGTTTTCTTCCCTTCCATGTGCTGTTGAAGTGCAGCCTGACTGACCTGGGAGCTGCCACCTCAGCTGTGGGTCACCTGCCCCTGTGCAGAGCCAACCTTGTGGTGCTTGAGAGCTCAAAAATAACCTGGACTTAACATAATGTGTATGAAATTGGTTTCATTTTTTTCCTTAGGGACACAAAACTCACCTGTGATCAAAGTGGATCAGCCAGAAAGCAAATCAGACTTCAGAACTCCCTACTGCAAACAAAACCCAGCAGTGTCACTAACCCCCCTCTAATTTTTTAACATGCATAGAATAAACTGTATCAAACCTAAATATCAGTGACTGTATCCAGTTAATTAATGTCTTTTTCTTCTCTAGTTGGTTCACAGGGAGACGTCCAGAATTCACTGACCCCAGAGTGGTGGCACAGGGAGAAGGAAGAGAAGGTGAGTGCCTGGGCAGCCCTGACCCTGCCACAGCTCAGCCATCCCTCTGTTGGTGCAGCAGAGTAGTTGTTCAGCTGAGAACAGTCTTACCTGGGCACAGGAGGAGTTCAGCACCACTCAGACTTCTCTGGAGCAGTTTTATTCTTTCTTTTAGTAACGAGGGTACGGTCTCAAGGCTTTGTGACCATTTCCTTCAACGTGGTGACCAAAGACATGAAGAAGTTGGGCTACGACGTGTGCTCCAGTGACCTGCAGAACCTGGTGCCTGTTCCTGATGGGATTCACAAGTATTGAACTCAGCTGGGGGTTATCCAGAGGCTCGGAGGGAAGTTCAGCACTTTGGGGGGCTTTTTGTGGCAAAAGGAAACAAATAGCTGAGGAAAACTTCACTTGAGAGCATGAGCCCCAAAAGAAACACAAGCCCACGAGGCTTTGGAATCCTTCCCTTCTGGTGAGCACACAGGCTGGAGTAGGATGGAAATTAACCTCATCAGGCAATATTCAGCATTTTTAGGAGTGATGGCAGACTGTCTCAAAATAAGGCCTGTAACCAAATGGTTTTTACAACAGCCTTTTGTACACTCTTTATGTGCTTGGAGAACAGAATGTTCACAGTTGTAGCAGTTTCCTTGTGTTCAAAACACCATTGCAAACTCAGTTTTTTTTTTTCACTAATGCTTTTTTGTAGTAGAAATGGGAAAGTGAAATTCCTGGAGCTTCCAATTAGGCAGGAATATGGAAAAGTTCCAGTCTGAAAGCCACAGCAGTTCTCCTGGTCAACTCACGTGGTCCTTTGGAGATGATTGTGCCAAACAGCTCGTGCACTGCAGGTTTTTTTTTCACTAATGCTTTTTTTTTGTAGTAGAAATGGGAAAGTGAAATTCCTGGAGCTTCCAATTAGGCAGGAATATGGAAAAGTTCCAGTCTGAAAGCCACAGCAGTTCTCCTGGTCAACTCACGTGGTCCTTTGGAGATTGTGCCAAACACTGCAGGAACAAACCTTCCCAGGTTTTCCAGTGAAGCAGCCTGGGCTGTTGCCTCTCAAACCAGATGATGGCTCCTCCATTTCCACATTTTATTTCCACTTCAAGCTTCAAGAAGACAAAAAACAAGAGGACAACCACTTATTTTAGAGGTGTTGGAGAGACCATGGTTTGAAACGTATCTAAGCTGCATGGATCCAACTTCTGGTCAAACAAATTGCATTTTAAAGGCAGATCTGGACTAAAAAGGCTCTGCAAAGGCAGCAGAGCCTGAGCACACCAGCTGTGTGTGCAGTCAGAAGCAGCATTTGGCTCCACAGTGGTTACACCAGAGGCACAGGAGGGGGGGAGTAGCAGAAGGGACCTTCTCACCCCCTCAGGAGGTCCCTCCAGCTGCTGTGCTGCACAGGCAGCTTTCCTCAGCTGCTTTTCTTCTCAAAAGAAGGGCAGTAAACAAGAAGAATGGTGACTCTCACTTCTACTGTCCTGGAGTTTTCTCTCCCATCACACAAGCCCCAAGAAGGCCCAAAGTGATGTGGGTGTTAGGGTGTGACAGGCTCCAGAGGTGACATTGCAGCTCTCAGGTGGCTGCAGCATGAGGTGGCCTCAGTCTGAGGAGTTCTCTGATGTCTTCCCCTGGCCTCTCAGCAGGTCCTCCCTAAGCTCATGCTCTTCTCTGAGGCTGAAGAAACCCAGTTGTCTCAGTGGATTTGTTTCTGCTGCTGGGGTTTGTATTCCTTTCTGCCAGAATGGATGTTTCTAAGGCTTAAATCATCCCAGATCTGCTATTCTTACAGGTACACAAGAGAAAGAAGTGTCTGCTGCAAGGGACTGACTCATTGCTGACTGATTTTCCAAGTCAAAGGTGGGCATGTCATCTCTTGTGTTCAGCTGCAAACACTGAGAGGTGACTGGGAGAGTGACTTAACGTGGTACCACCCTGGAACTGACCCACCAAGACCTTGGAGCTGTGGAAATCCAAGTGCTGGCACACAGCACTGACCTGCAGAGCCCCCTGGACACCTATCAGATACAGAGACCAACAGAGATCATTGTTGTTACTTCATGCTGGGAGGGAATAAATACAACTGCTGAACAGATCCTGTGGTCACTGATTTTCCTCTGAGCATTAGCATCTTTTAGATGAATTATAAATGTCTTTCCAAACACGGTTACAGATGGAGCTGCAGGACTGGGACAGGGATTGTCCCCCTGGGCCTGGCACTGGGGAGCCCATCCCTCAAATCCTGGGTTCAGTTTTGTCCAAGAAGGACCTTCGGGCAGGGATGAAGGGTCTAGAGCCCAAGGAGCAGCTGAGGGAGCTGGGGGTGCTGAGCCTGGAGCAAAGGAGGCTCAGGGGAGACCTTCTGGCTCTGCACAGCTCCTGACAGGAGCCTGGAGCCAGGGGGGGGTCGGGCTCTGCTCCCAAGGAACAAGGGACAGGACAAGAGGAAACAGCCTCAAGTTGCCCCAGGGGAGGTTAAGTCTGAACTTTAGGAGCAATTTCTTCCCCTTGAGGGTTGCCCAGGGCTGTGCCAGGCTGCCCAGGGCAGTGGTGGAGTCCCCACCCCTGGAGGGGTTCCCAGGCCATGGAGATGTGGTGTGAGGGACACGGGGCAGTGGGGACCTGGCAGAGTTACATTCATGGTTCCACTTGATGATCTTAAAGGTCTTCTCCAACCTAAACTTTCCTCTGATTCTATGAGTTTTCATCTCTTGCTTTTCCCCCAGCTTGTTTTTGTTGATTTTACCCTTCCAGTAAGCTCCTCCACCAGTTGTTCTGGCAACCATTGTGCTCCCTGCACTGACTCATGTTGGAATCCACATTAATAAATATTTCCTGTTGGCCTGGGGGGGAGATGCAAGGAATTTTGTTTCCTTTTTAGAAGCATTTGGGAAGGAGTCAGCGACAGTAGCAGGATAAATATCCGTGTTTGAAGCACTTGACAGGCAAACATTAAACCTCCTACTGCTGAAATCTCTTTTCTCCCTGGAGCACAGTTACCTGCCCCCGTTCCAGTTAAAGCAAAACTGCTCAGCAGATTTTCCAGCCCTGAGAACCCCTTTAAACCCCAATAAAGCCCCAGGGGATGTGGTGAAGTGGCTCACGTGCAGCTTCGTGGTGCTACGACCCAGCTCCTGTTCCATCTTCCTGTTCCTGGGGAGTTGGACCATTCCCTTGCCTCTTTTCTCTGGGTTTGGTGGAGTTTGGGGTGTTCTTTTTGACTCTGCAGCCTCAAGCATGTTTAAGAACCCCACATACCCCTTTCAAGGCCTTTATGGGTTTAGTCTGTGAGCACTCCAGGAGCTTTTTCGTGGGACACAGTTTGCACCAGGGCACGTGTGGGGGTGATGTTTTCAGGGAGTGTCTCCTGAGCTCCTTTGTTCTAAGAGGCAGTCTCATAAACGTGTTCTTCTCCCCCAGACAGCCTCACTGCTGCCTTCCTAGCTTGCTGGAAAGCTCTCTCTGGTTCCAGCCCTTGGCTCTCAGGCGTGGCAGAGCGTTTGCAGCTGTTTTAGCCTGCACAGAACCTCAGCTCTCAGGACAGAGTGAAGACACACACAATGCTGTGCTGGGAGAGCAGGGGCCACGAACAAGGGGGGGGATTTATGGCTCACAAGTGTTCCTTGCACTTAGTGTTAAAGGTTAAAAGAGCCCTCAGCTTTAAGACCGGCCAAAAAGGCAGGAAAATCTCAGCCTTGCTGCAGTGGAGGCTCAAAATCATTTCCTCTCTCCCCCTCTCCAGGCAGCTGGAACTGCTCTGCTCCTTCCCTGGTTAATCATTCTCCCTTTTATTCAAAGCTGGATGGAGGTTCCCCACCCCACGCAGCAGGAGGCTGGCAGCTGGAGCAGCAGCTCCTGCTTGGTCACGCTGAAGTGTCTCCCAGACAGTGAAATTGGCTGTTAACCTCCTGGTTCAAGATGGGCAGGAGGAAAAAAGCTTTCTTCAGAACCTGTGTCCTGACACAGGGTGGCTTCCAGGTCTTCAAAACAGAGGAAGAGCTGCCAGAGGTGAATGGAGCCTGGGAGATAGTTGGGGGCTCTGCAAAGCCACCCTCTGACCTCCTGCTCTGGAGGAGCTGCCCAGCAGGACCACGCTCACCTCATGGGAGAGCTCTGCTGGCACCCTGGAAGCCACCCAAGGACAGGGACTGAACAGCAGCTTGGGAGTCAAACCCTCTAGGAGAAGGAAAACACAGCCTCATGGACTGCTTTGGGCTGGAAGGGAAATTTCAAGGGCATCCAGTCCAACCC